TTGAAGACCCGTTTTTGTATTGCAACTGCAGGAATATGTCCACATGAGTCTTAACTTCAGTGTATTTCTGAATTTGGTCATCTATTTGCTTTGTCACAGCTGTGTAATAAACCCTTTCAGCAGCTGGGGGGGGGGGGGGGGGGATGAAAGTAATTGATTTCCATTTTATGAGCTTTATGGGATGTGCTACTTAGAAGACTTGTTGTTAGCACCATTTGCTGATGTTTAGTGGAAGATTTAATTCCCCTACTCTAATGATTTGGAGAAATATGTTGATGTAAAACTTAGGAAGTTATTATGGAAATAGCAGCATTATGAAATACCTTTATGTGGATGCAGCATCCACTGTTTGCTGACAGAGGTGGTATCGTGTGGCTGATGGGGTACAGTGGACAGTTGTTAACCACAACATGTACAAAGGAAAGATTTAGCTGAAGCCTTGGGGAGCAATGTGTTCCCAACATGTCTGTGTGGATGGGGTTTGGGGGAGTGGAGTGAAAGAGATGGAGGTTTTCAAAACATGTATTCAAAAGATGTAGAAAAGATGGAGAGACACTGGCAACACTGGGGATTAACTGAAAGCACATTGGGATGCTCCAGGGTGGTCAGAAATCACAAGGGTGATAGAATTGCATTTATTCCCTGTGCTACTGAGGAAAGGAGCATTTGGCAATGCAGTAAGCAAAGCTGGTGTGTTGTAGGTACTCTATATGCCCGTGATGGTGAAACCAGACAAACTGGTATGCCCACGAGGGTGGAAAAGTCTAGTGGCAGCAATGCCTCAGCCCAGCTCCTTGGTGCCTGAAAAGCTGGGCTTGATGGCTCCCTTTCCATGAAGTGGGGACAGGCAGAGTAATACTGCTGTCAAGGTGTGGGTCAAAAGGACCTTGGATAAAGAAACAGTGTGGTGGTCTACTTCAGTGCCAAGCAGCTTGAAAGTATGCTGAATCCACCTGGGTTTCCATGGACGCATCCACTTGTGCCATCTGGTATCGAAGGAATGTGGGAATTTGCCTGTTATTTTGGGTCTGTTTTCACTTGGATATTCCCAAGGTCCAAGGCCAGGTTGGACAGAACCTTGAGTGGTGTGGTCAAGTAAGAGATGTTCCTGCCCATGGCAGGGAGGTTGGAACTGGCTGGTCTTAAAGTCCTTTCCAACCCAAACCAGTCTATGGCTTGGGTTGCAAAGTCTGCATGGCCAGCAAACAAGCAGAGGCCTGAAAGCCTACAGCTGGCAATGCATTGTACTCATGGTGCCTGTACTGGACTGCATCTGAGTTGTGACAGTGGGGGCAGATGAGAGTAAACTGGTAAATACTCACCTTTCCCAGGCTTGAGGCTCCAGCTGATTCCAGTACACAGGCTTTCAAACCCACAAACCTTTGTGCTTGGGACAGGATTCCCACATAACCATCCCTGTATATATGAGTTGATGGGAGTATTGCTTTTTCTTCTTCTGGTTAGTGACAGGTGCTCGGCAAAATAAATCTAAGGGTTTGTTTTAATGTTTCTATTGAGAAGGTAGAGAAGAAAGTTGATTGGGTGTGTCTCTGAAGGTCTGTCATATTTCTTCTCGGATAGAGTTTGCAGATTGAACTCTTTTAATCCTATTTCCTCTGTCAAAAAGAGATAACCAATTCCACAGACTGAGGTTATTAATGATTGAGTGAGTTTTATCCATCTCTTTATATCTTGGAAGGACACTTCACTGAAGCTGATTTTGATCACTTTGTAAGCAGTGTCACCTTCAATAAATTCCTGCCTGACAATAGATAACCCAGTAAGGAGCTGGAGGACAGCAGAGGTGATGTAAGACTTGGCATCTCTTGAACCTAGCTGCATTCCCACTGTTGTTTTAGGGGGAGTTTAGAGCCATGTTAAGGGAAGGAAGAAGAAAAAGCATCGTCCTGGAAGAAAGCAGCCTTCCAATTTGATTCAGAAAGATGTTTTTCCCCAAGACATGAGAATTACATTACTTATCATAATTTTTTCAAAAGGAAAAGGTGGGAGTGGTTTCACTTTTATCTCTCTGTCCTTGCCCAGCCTAGCATGTAAAGCCTTGGCAAATATCTTGGCCATTTAGTTGAAGGATCCCATGTCTGCTCTTGCGAGCAATGTAACACAACAGAATCCTGCAGTGCTTCACCTGCCAGCATCTGATGGTTGGGATATTGCAAACTTCTCTCTCTTATCCACGATGTGCTGTTCCATCAGTGCCAAGCAAGAGGTATAGATGCTCACTGGTGGGAAAATAGACTGCTGCAGCAGCAAATGTGTCTACTCCTAGCTCTAGCAGCCAACCGGCTGGAGTATGCTGCACTCATTGAATAAATGGTTGGTGTAAGCCTGTTGTTTTAGGGAAGGCTCAAGGACAACTCAAGTAGAAATTCAGAGTTCCAGGAACAGCATCTCCTTGTCCACATCCTTTCTGCACAATATGCAGCTATTTTTGGAGGTTGTGGCAAGGTGGGGAGGGAGCCAGAGTGAGAGGACTGGCTGGTGCATCTGAAGATTATTATTCCCTGTGGCTGCTCCATCCTTCTGGACTGTGGCCACAGATTGTTCTTGCAGTTGCTGGAGTCACTTGCTGTGTCACTGTGGTTTGCAGGTATCTCGGTGTCTGCTGTGGTGACCACATCCTCAAGGTGAATGAAATACCCTCTGCCCCTACTAGCTTGGGTCAGAAGAGTCGTTTGGGTCCATTTTGGGCAGGAATGCTTTCTCTGACCACCAGAGATTCACATTCTCACTGCTCTCTTTAGGAAGCACATTAATTCAGCCACTGTACAGGGTGAACTGATCTTTGCTGTTTACTTGCCAGCTGATGCACAGCAGGATTCAAGGAACAGTCCAGGGGATGGCATTGCCAAATGCAGCATGTCCTTATACTAAAAACACACACTTATTTTCCATTAGGTCGAGAGAGCTTCCAAGCCTTGGCAGATCAGGAAAGCAGTGGTAGGGAGAAAATGCAGTTCTGGCTTTTACTTGATTTGTCTTTGCATCTTTTCATCTCCAGAAGTTATCTGAAGGAGTGAGGGTAGTGGCAGGATGCTGTGCCCAATGTGTTCTGTGCTTTCTGCCTTTGACTTTGAAGGAAGCTATTTTTACAAGAGATGTTCATGGGCTTTCTTTGTAGTTAGGAGCCCGGACATAACCATTGCATTCCTCCAGGCAGCCACTGTATGTACCCGTGAGGATGGGAGCCTCCCGGAGCTGCTGCTGATCAATAAGAACATCACCTTCCTCCTTCCTCTTTCTAGGTGAACAAGCAGCAGGTCAGCTGAAGGAAAGGGAAGCTGTCTAAGGGAATCGGGAAACTCCAGCCCCCATACTGCTGGAGAATGAGGGAAACAGTGGGCCATGACTCTCCATTTGGTGCTTTACTGAAGTGTTTAGCTTCATCTGCTTGAGCCTTTGCCAAGAGTTGGCTCCTTAGTGGAGCAAAACTACCTCTTAGCCTGCCTGCCCATGGCAGGGCTGGAGTAGAGGGTGTTTTACAAGAGCATGACACCTATGGGACTGTCCACATTGCCGGGTTTGATGCCTGAGGACATGCAGCAGATACCAGATAGACCTGGAAAGAGACTGGGGCTACATCTCCTGAACATGCTGCCTTCTCACACCATTGTACTACCACTTGTTGAATGGAATCCCAGCCCAAGTGGAATCAGCAGGAGCTTTAGTGCCTGTCAGGTTTGGCATTGCTCCTTATAAATAGTTGGTGGGTTTTTCCCAGAACTGGGAAAAATCAGTACACCTGGACTAATGGAGTGATATTTTTACTTAACCCTTTGGTAGAAGGGTGCCAAAGCTTGATACTGGGCAAGGCAGAGCTTTACCTGGACTGGTTAGATAGTAGCTAGTTTCTCACTTACTGTTTTCATGGATGTGAACTTTTCATATTACTAAGTGATTTCTGCTACCCCAAATGCTTTTCCTTGTCATCTTTGCTCCCAGGTGAAGCTCCCCCCTTTACAGTGGAAGTGCAGCCACATGAGGGGTCTGTGCTGTGCTCAAGACAGCTGAGGCAGCAGAGACCTGAGAGGTGCTGAGCATGGGGATGCTCCCAGGGCCTCTGGCTGGGAAGGAGGTAGAAGCATTGCAGGGTGTGAAGGCTTCATGGCTGTGCTTCAGTGGCAGGGGAAGCTTCGGGTAGGGGAGTAAAGCTAACATGGTCAGACTTGGACAGGGAGCTGGCCATGTGCAAGGAATCAGTCAATACAAGCTCTTTGCTTTGATCATTTCCCTGGATAACCACCCTAAGCTTCTAAAAGGCTCCTTTCCTCCCTTCCCACCCCCTACATGCACTTGGTTTTTTTTGATTGATGTTTATGTGTAGCCTTAAGGACTGTAACTACTTAAGCTAATGACCACTTGTTGATGATTCTTGTGTTAAATGGTATTGTGAGGCCCCAACTTCAAGAGCTGCCTTACTCACTTCAGAGAGATCTTGGTCTGATTTTTGGGTGTGCTGAACACTTGAACCTCTCACTTGCTTGAATAGAATCCTAGAATGGTTGGGTTGGAAGGGACCTTAACTCATCCAGTTCCAACCCCCTGCCATATGCAGGGTCACCTTCCACTAGACCAGATTTCTCCAAGCCCCATCCAACCTGGCTTCGAACACTGCCAGGGATGGGCAGTCACACCTTCTCTGTACAACCTGTGCCAGCTCCTCACCACCCTCACAGTAAAAAGCTTCTTCCTTATATCCAACCTAAATCTCTTCTGTTTCAGTTTGAACCCATCACCCTTTGTCCTGTCGCTACAGTCCCTGATGAAGAGTCTCTCTCCGGCATCCTTTTAGATCTCCTTCAGATACTGGAATAGCAGGGTTAAGGTGGCTCATACGCTGAGCCAGCAATGTTTACACTGTGTGTGCTGCAGCAATGCCTGGTCCCATGCATCCCAAATTTGCTGTGTGCTGCCGCTCTCTCTTTCCATGCAGCTATAGGCAGGCCCTGGAGGAGAAGATGCTCAGCAGAAGCTGGCCCGTGTAGCATCCCTGCGGATGCAGCGGTACCGGGTTGGCGGCGATGGACACATCCCAATCTGTGGGTGGCCCGCGCCACAGAGCAGGAGTGTAGCGGATGTGCCGCCGTGTACCGGGACGGGGGGTGACAGCCGCAGCCCGGCGGGTTGCTGGGGCAGCTCGGGGCCGCCAGGCTGCGCTCTCGGTCCGGCCGCCGCTCCTGCCGCCCTCCCCGGGCGGGCGACCGGGGCTCGGGGCACGGCGGAGCGGGCGGTCCCGGGACGGCGGCGGTGGCACCATCGGCACCAGCACCTGCGGCTGCGGGGAGAGGCAGGGCTCGGCCGCCCGCTCGGCGCCCCTCGCCCGGCCCGGCATGACGCGGCGGCGCCCCGGCGGCGGAGGGAGGTGGGTGCCGGTAGCCTTGGCCGCGCTCCTGGCCCTGCGAGGTGAGTGCTGCTCGGGAGGAGATGCGGCGCGGTACCCACGGACGGGGCATCGCCGTGCGGTCGGCGACGGGGATGGGGCGGGCGGCCGCCCGCCCGCCCCATCCCCGTCGCCGACCCCACGGCGATGCCCCGTCCGCTGGGCCGGTTGGGAGCGAACCAAGTTTTGGTTGCGGTCCCACCGGTGATGCTCGGAAATGCGGCGGTGGGTGAGTGCTTTTGCAGGCAGGCTTGGGGAAGGAGCGCTGCTCCGCTCGGTGCCTCCTTTTGCTGCTTCTTCCACTGCACCATCCTTCTTTATACTAGTATCCTATTTATTCTTGCGGTGCTGTGAAAGTTGCTCTAAGCTGGGCTTCACGTTGCCTGGGCCTAGTCCCTGTGATAAGCTCACCTAGGTGGAAAAGTCTGGGTCTATCCTTCAGGCCCTGAGGCAGCCGGGGAACTTTGTGCAGGGATTCCTGGAGCCCTCCGTGTCCTCCTCTGGCTCATTCTCCTAGGATTTAACTGAAGTGACTGCCCCATAACATGAGGAGAGACCCAAACGACTCCATCCCTTCCACCTCCAAAAGCCCTTCCGAAATAAGGTGTGTGCCTTGGTCCTCTGTGTGGAAAGAGAAACAAATGGCACATGGCAGATGCTGTTAACATCGCATAGTGCATTGTTGGAGAGCACCAGGAGGTGCTGTGAGAGGGGCAACAGCAGGAATTACAAAGTGTAGAGTGTTCAGACTCATCTGTTGATCAGGTGGCAATGCCTTCATTCAAGTCATGCCAAACTTCAGAGCAGGCCTGCTCAGCCTGAGGTTTACAAGGTAGTTTTCTTAAGGTCTACTCACTTACGCAGAGGTCCACTAAGTGGTTTTGCTGAGCTCTGCTGCTGGGAAACTGGGAAATCTGCTGCAAGTGATCCCTCATGGAGCAGGAGGATGGTAAGAAATGACAGCCTCGCCCACTAGAATACCAGAGATGTCTCAGTGAAGCCTGGATGAAACTTCCTCGCAGTCTGCGTTTGGATGGAGATGCTGCTTGTGTAGATGTGCCTGGCTCTCACTCTCCTGTGTGGTGCAGCAGTTAGTTTCCCTCTGCCTGGGATCCACTGAGAAACAAGTTTTATTATGGACAAGGACTTTCACACGTGTCTCAGCCCCAAAAGCACTCTGAGTTCTGTCCTCGGAGCACATTTGGGAGTCTGATTCACATCCATTAACTGGAAAGGGCACCTGCTGATTTCAAAGAGATGAATTACAGAAACAAATAGTTTGTTAGCATTTAATGGAAAGAAATAATCCGAGCTGTTCCACGCTTCGTCTTATTTGTTCACTTTTTATGTACTTTTCCTGGTTAGGAAAGCGAGTTCAATGACTTCTAGTTTCTTAAGGCCACAATTTGTCTGCAGATGTTGCAAAGGTGTAACTGTCTAGAAAGTTAGTGTGCCTACTGCAGTGAGAGGCGTGTACGTGATGAAGTGTTGGTGTGATATCTCTGCAAAAACATATAACAGTAATCGGCTTTCAGGTTAAAACTAAAGGGGCATTTAATTATCTCTTTAAGCAAAAAGATTGATTCAGTGTTTAATTTCTTGGGTTTGGTTGAGGGCACGTGGGGACAATGACAATGGAGAGAACTAGCACAGAAACACACTTTCCATGAAACGTTTAAGTGCAATAATGTAGTGCTTTTCCTTGCCCTTTAGGGCTTCAAAATTACCTGAATGAATCACTTGTGTCTCAAGTTTGGGGCTTTATTTTCCTTTTTGCCTTAGGAAAAGTCTTTAGAAGATGGTGGTAGATGAAAATAGCTGCAGTACACAGTTACTCCTGTGTTATGTGGTATGGCTGTCTCATTGGTGGTTCTTGAATTAGGAAATAAAACCTGGGTAAAGTATAAGGAATTCATGAAAGCTGAAATAAAACTGGGAGAGTTTTTTCTAAACACCACTTGCGGAAGACCAGTAAGTGTATTTCTGCTCTGGGTTGCCAAGTCTGGTTAGGAAGAGTGATTTTATTCCCTTCTGTGAGGCTTTAGATTGGTTCAGAGGATAGAGAAGGAAAAAGATGGGATCATATGCAAAGTGTCACATAAGTGAAAGGTGAAAGGTTGAAAAGTTAAAGGATCAGAAACTGTAAGAGTGTATAATCAGAAGAAATACTTGATGTGAAACAAATGAGAAGTGGCAGGGAAAAACTGCTCCTGGAGGTCATTTCATCATTCTCACACTTCCTGCCTATGACAAAATACAGTCAGGCTTTGTAGTGAAATGTCAATCAAACATTATAGTCTCATTTCCTTACTTTGCTTTGCAATTTGTAGAATAGCAGTGATTCTCTTTAACTGTCTGCTTTCTCCAGGACTATAATACCCACACTGAATGCTTCTGGGGCAGGGGCAGCGTCTGTGTTTTCCCTCTAAAGCATTATGAAAGTAATAACTTTAGAGGAAATAACATTATTTTCAGGCTCCCTAGAGAAGTTTAAGGAAAGATAGGAGGGAATTCTGTTTAGAGCTCGGAAACCAAACCCGCGATTGCAAATCAATCTTGCTCTGTGGCCAGAAATAGCATGCTGCAAATTGTTAAATGTGTTAGAAATCACACATTGGGTACAGCTAAACTGCAGAACCGACTTTGACTGTATGGTGTTTGGATCCTGTGATGTAGTATCACAACAGGTGAGATGTTGGCGTGCTACAGTCGCTGCAGCAAGGTGAGGGTAGGAGCTGTGTATGCCTGGTGGTAGTGCATCAGTGCAACAGCAGGGCTGCAGATTACACACTACTTTCCTAGTCCTCACCTGAAGTCACCCTCCTGCCAGTCAGGGGTTATCACAGCTGAAACTGAGCAGTTTTGGCCTCTCAGCACCCTTGTGCTAGCTCACATATCCTTCCCAGCCCTGCACCAGGTCCTCAGCCCTAGCAAAGGAGGATTCTGGCAATCCCTTGCTCTTCCATACTTATGCTTTCCTTTTTTTGTTTTCTTTCCTTGGAACAGATTGCCGTTTGTGTCAAGCTGTGTGGTTTTGTGATGTGTAGATAAATCATTTTGCTCACGACCTGACCTTGGTCCTCAGCAGTAGGCACAGATGCATTGACTACTTTTTGCGCCTCTGAAGTGGCCATCCTTTCCTTAGTTTGGGAACTGATTCTTTCTCTGTTTCTTTTCTGTATTGCTTAAACTCCAGTTTTCTTTTGTAAGATTCCCTTCTCTAAGGGATCTCAAAGTGCCTCGAGAGCAGCTATATTTAGCTGCTCAGTAGTAATATGGACATACAAAATATGGTGTAAACAACTTGTTAAGAAACTTAAAAATCATTTTCCTACCTCCAGTGGGGAGATGTTTTTATTATACCAATAGTAGAGATGGAGCAAGTGAGGCTCAGAGAGGCTTTGTGACCTACTGAAGGTCAGCAAATGCTGGTAGTAGTCTTGAGTGTCTTGGTCCAAACTCTAACCACAGGACAATGCTTGAATTTATGCAGCAGGTTAAGCAATACTGTAATGGTACTCTTTAGGGATGTTCACTACTAAATTGCGGTGAGTCATCTATATTTAGCAGGATGCTACTATCATTGTGCTTTTTAAGTAAAGTGCTTTTAACACAGTTTATTTCAAGGAGAAGTGCATGCACTGAAAACATGTTCTTTGTAGTTTTCTCCTTGTGGAGCCTTAATGCTGTCTTTCCCCTTTGTAAATGTTCAGAGAGAAATTTAGCTCCTGGTTGTTTAACAGACAGTAGTGTAACAAAGACAGTTCCCTGGTTAATACTACGTTGTCATTTGCACGCATTAACTAACTGAGAGTCTCCAAACTTTCCTTTGTGGGGGCAGTCAGTTTGATTTCTAGCATGGGAAACTGAAGTGTACAGAGGTGAAAGGATTTGCTGTCAGGTGGGACATCTGCCCAGCCTCTCCTTTAGAGAAGTCACAGTTACAGGGCTCCTAGTCATATGCCACCCACTTCTCTCACTGAAATGCTTCATGTTTTATGCACCAGGGAGAAAGCACAATGTTATTAAGTATGCACAGTGAACTGTTGTGGTTTTGGGTTATTTTTTCCCCTTAAATGTTTACATCTCTTTGGTTTTGGAGGTCAGTTGTGTCCCTTATGGCTCCTGCTTTTCTTTTATTGCTTGAGCTGGGGTGAGGACGTGCTCCGTTTCATCAGGGTTGAGGGCTTCATTCTGAATGGAAATAGAAGTTGGATGCTTTGGTTTTGAAAGGAAATTTTTTGAGAGAAATCCCATCTTAGGACAACCAATGTTGTGTTTCCTTGTGGAACTGTATTATTGCAATACAAGAAAATACCCTAGACAAAAAGGTACTTCGGGGTGGTGTTGTTACCCCCAGATGACAACTGAGTACCAGGCAGCTTGCTCGTTCCCCTCACCAGTGGGATGGGGAGGAGAGCTTGGAAAAAAGGGTAAAAACTGTGGGTTGATATAAGAAAAGCTTAACAATTAAAGTACAATTTAGTACCAAGAATAATTAGAAGGCACAACAACAACAGAAAAGATAAAACACCACTTCCCCCCACCCCAAACAACAGTGATGTGCAATACAATTGCTCAGCTCCTGCCGACCAATATCCAGCCTGTGCCTGAGCAGTCAACAGAGCCTTCCAACTACCTCCCCCCAGTTTCTATACTGGGCATGATGCTCTGTGGTATGGAATATCCTTTTGGCTAGGTTGGGTCAGCTGTCCTGGCCATGCTTCCTCACAGCTTCTGCTAGTGAGGAGATGCACAAGAGCGTGAGAGACTGAAAGTCCTTGATCAGAGTAAGTGCTACTTAGCAACAACTAAAACATCAGTGTGTTATCAGCACTGTTCTCAGACTAAGGCCAAAACACAGCACTGCACCAGCTATTGAGAAGAAAATTAACTCTGTCCCAGCTGAAACCAGGACAGTGTGAGAAGCCAAAACTTTTCAACCCAAAGATGATTAAGTTGGATGCTTCTGTATTTCTGACAATTTTCCCCCGTTTTTCTTTTGAAGCACAGTTATGATTTT